CCGCCAGCCCATGTACTCTGTATTACTGTATTACTGTTAAGCAGGCCTTCGGTAATCTTGGATTACTGGCCGGTTACGGTGCTAAACCCATAGGGGCGGGTTTGGGTCGTGATATATGTATTTTGTGATTGTAGGTCAAGACTCGAGGATTAATTGACCGCTTACTAGAACCGCTGTGAGTAACATTATCGTAAAGATACGTTTATATGAAATTATGTTCCAAATGAAATGTGATAAGCTATGATTTCTGAAATGATATCTGTTTTCTTGAACGAATATTCCATGTTTGAAATCTATTATGGTATCTATAGATAGTCCCAAGTCATGGGGGACGACATGAAAATGCGGGTCCATGACATACAAGTAATTACGAGATCTCATTAGCCACTTCATTGTGGTGATATGTGTTTAATCGGTATCCGGTACCGATTACTCTAGTCGAAAGACATTCTGTGATGTGTTCTATGGGATGTACCATTATTATGTTTTGATATGAGAATGATTATGCTATGATCTGTTTCCGCTTATGATATGTTCGGATTTCGTTCACTAACCCTTTTACCTTAATGTTATTCACTGGGTTTTAGCTCACTATTTGTATATATATGTATATAGGTGAGCATTCTGGAGTTCAAACCTGAAAGCTTTTGTCTGGATCTGTGTTCTGTTGTCAGCCAACCATTATGCCTCACGTGGAGATTCTCGAAGTGTCCAGTGTTTAAGTTCTGTCGTTTCTGTATATATAAGACTTGATTTGATGTCGTTGGCTGTACTTAAAATTCTGTAATGTGTGTGGGTATAATGTATGAATGATATTTGAATATGTGTATAAAGTTTTAATTATTCTGTTCATATAAGTCAGCACAGCTCATTTGACAACTATATTTATGTATTTGCTTCCGTTAGCCCCTTAATCTTGTTAATCTATTCAGAGGTTTTCGGTAATCCAAGGATTACTGGCCGGTTACGATGCTAAACCTATAGGGGCGGGTTTGGGTCGTGACAATCGAACTCGTGACTTGAGTTTAATACCTCAAGTTTTTACTGCTCTACCAACTTTTAAAGGTCTACCAATCTAGACAATGTTACTTGGTTCACATTGTATTGTATCCTGTATCGTTTAAGTGGGCTATTTAAGTGATAGTTACCTAAAAATCTTAATGCAATCTTTTTTTTCTTGTTCTTGTAGGTTTCCAAATACTGTAGAAATAAATAAATAAATAAATAAAAATTATGATTTTTGAGGTGAAAATTTTGAATTTTTGTAATGAAAGTTGCTTGAATGTATTGTATGCCAATTAGTGAGCTACCCTTGTTGTGTGAGTGAATTTCCGATCACACTGCCAACTTAGTATTCAGTTGGAGAGTACTGGAAGAATAGATGACACCTGGCTGACCTGCAACCGAAACAGAAGATTCTGGCGGTGGTTCGTCCACCTGGGGGCACTCCGACGATCAAGTCAGTATATCTCTTAAAGATAATTAATTGCTAAACTCACTGTTTTGAGTATAAATTACGTACCTTAGACCCATGGGGGTGCCTTTCTTTTATAGCTAACATAGACTCAGTCCCAATAGAAGCCTAGCTTCAATGGACTCTAGTTTAGTGCTTATCCCTCTTCAATAGATAGAGATAAACTCCCTAAGAGTGTTATTCTTATCCATGCTGAAGTCCTTTTTCATTCTAGGACTCTTTGTGCCTTATCCGCTTATCTCCGATTCCGATATCTTCGGAGATAACCTCGGCCTAGCCGAGATCACCTCGGCGTCATAACTTGGACACGTGGCACCTCGGCTGACACGTCGGCGTCACCTTATCCACGTGTTGGAACTCAGAAAATATATCACCTCACTTGTAATGGTTACAAATTAATCTCAGTACTTACACTTTTAACATGATATTACAGTCAAACTTAATGGGTTTTTCACTGCCCACTGGATGTTTTCATGCGTATGAACTCTCCACCAGTCACTACCATACATCACAAGACCTAGCAATCATCTAGTTCTCTTTATCTATTGGATCTCACATTCTCTTAATCTAAAACGTACTTCAACATATTCAGCAATTCTCTTGTTATAATCGTTTTTCAGACACCCTTTTTCAACAATCTTCAATACCCACATGTTCATTTTGTTTTTGTTTTTTTATAAAAAAACACTCACAACACTCTTTGATCATTATATTTTCAAACCTTAATTATTGTGCATTCAAAATTTAAGAAAGTATACTTTTCTTCACTAAAGTAGCTTCAATGTTGCAACCCTTTGTTCTCCCAACTAGATCCACACACACTTGTCATCACAAAACTCATATATGGTAATGCCCAGATCTAACCACTGCAGCTATCGTACCGATATCTCACATGGCTATCATCTTTTCATCTACCATCTTCTTCACCAATGGTGTCGTTCTGCTTTCCACTTATTACCTCTCAAAAACCATAGTTCACTAAGATAGCCATCTCGTCTTCTAGAAACCAGCATCCGTCTAGACTTCCCACAACATCTTTAAACTCACCTTCACCTCTAAGCTTCCCAAACTCACCTTCTCTCTTTAGCATCAGAATCACTCTTTATTTTGATATGGTCCAATTTTCTAAGAATTGTCTAATTCTAATTCATCTATTAGTTCGTATTCAATTTTCAATCTCCTATGATTTGGATATATGTCTTGCCTTATTCAACATTTATAAAGTCAAAGTTGCGTCTCTTATTTATTACTACTTCGCAACGACCACTGTTATATTTTCATCACATGACTTTATATATTTTTTAAATTTATCTATTTTCTAGTTTCTTTTTTCAAAAGTCGAGTTCCTTTACCTACTTGAGTTTGAGGAGATGTGTATATAGATATATATATATATATACTAGCGGTTGGGCACACACGATGTGTGTGCAAATTAAATAAATAGGAATAAAAGAAAATAATAATGAAATTAATATTATAATGTGTACTTAGTTTAAGTGGTATGAGTCCTCATACTTAAACCCATGGTCATGGGTTCAAGCCTTGCCCATCTCTTTTTTTAATTTTTTTAAAAAAAATAAAAAACACTGCCACATGGCATGAGGAGAGTAAAGCAAGCTTCAGGACACCATATTATGTGTTCACTTTATAATAGTATAGATAGATAGATAGATATTTCATTATGTGTTATGCTCATGAAAATGTCTAGAGATCTACTTTTATCCATCCAGAAAATTTTAGGTGGGTGATTGCGTAGTGGAGATTAATTTATACAGCGTGAGATTTATATGAGGTCTATGTATAGAATAAATCTGAACTACAATATGAAGATTCTAGATAATTTCTGAATTGATAAAGATGGGTTTGTAGTATTATTATATGCTCATTACTAAACTTGTTGAAGAGATGAAATATAACCAAGATATATCTTGTTGATCAAAGATTAAAACGATCACCAGAAGAAAAATTACGCCAAAAATTAGGACATACTCTGGGAAAATAAAACTTTCATAGAAGAGAAGCAAATGAAAGGCTTTCATAAAAATTCTTGTAGAATTGAGAATGAAGTTTTCATCCTGTACATGTCAAATCATGAATTAGTAACTACATCCAATTTTTTTTAAAAAATCCAATTGTTTCAAACTTTCTATTTTTGGAATAAAATATTTACGAAATCTGCAATCTCTCTTTCTTTTTTCCCCTATAATTCTAACATACCTTATCAACGTAGTATTAATAAACTTAAAAATTTTGATCCAAAATATAAATATTCTTCTTTTGGGGACTTGGCTTTTAGGCACTTTTTTGAGTTTGTAACAAAAGTCAAAAGTTAGTTTTTTTGTATTTAAAGACATTTGTAAAGTTTGTTTTTAGTCATTGGTGAAATTACAATTCTACCATTCATGGGTCAAAATGTGCTACATAAGTGAAATTATAAATATTTTAAATTAAATAGGAGTAGTTTGGTCATTTTATTGTGATTTGACATCATAAATAATTATTAATCAAAAAAAGCCAAAAATAACTTTTTACTAATTTCCTAAATCACTTGTCTAAAAAAATCAAAAGCTTAATTAAAAGCCAAAAAAATTATTTTTTACCATCTTCTTAAAACACTCCATAAAATTTTTTATAATACAAATATTTAAGTGGTCATGATTGTAAATTTCAAATTTTTGGGGACACTTTTTGGTGCATGTTGGATGCCCCCTTTTTACCAGAAATTATGAGTGTTTCTTTGCCTCCGGTAACTTTGTTGCTGGTAAGTTTCTTGACAAAATTTTGGTGGTCCATGCCCCCCCTATAATAGCCTTATAGGGGACCAATTTGTCAAAATTGTACCTTGAACTGGACCTCATGAAATAGGCCATTTAAATTTTATTTATTTATTTAGTGGAAAAGCAATTGAACATCGTGGTTATAATGAAACTCCTGTTTTTTTGGGCGCTGGGTAGGTAAAATTAAAGTTGCATGATGAGGTTGTTTTAAATTTTTTTTTGACACATTCGAGACATTCGAGTCATATAAATTTGGGCTACCAAATATTTTTCTTAAAAAACTTAAACTGAAAAATTGTACTTAGAAAACAATAAAACAAAAAAAACAAAAACAAGCAAAAGGGTCTGTGTCCCTTGAATTTAGTCATGGTCCCTCATCAAACATTGCAATGTATGGCAGTGTGACATTGTTGAATTTTATGTCATAACTTACATAGGACCAGCAATTGACGTTCCCAAGAATAAGATTTTTATTTATTTATTTTTTTTTCATGATGCATCCAATAATATACAAATTTACTTTGGCATCAATACCTTTAAATTATATAGTGTCATGCCACATCTTATAAATTATTAATACATTATCTAAATTCTTATTTCTAAATTAGATTAAAATTAACTATACTCAAATTTAAGAGTAATACATTAATTAAAACTCATGTCATTATTCAAATATCTTGGATGATTCATAACTTATCACTTAATATCTCAACTCGAGATGATACTACGTAGCAATCACTCCAAACTACCAAGACGATGTTGTTTTGGTTGTTTAAGTTCAAAAGTAAATACAGGCCATTGGATTGTGATGTGTTGTTGTCCCTAGCGACGTGTGTGAGTGTTGGACACTTAGAAATTTTTTTCCAACTGTATTATGGTATGGTGGTTGTATTTGCCTCCAAATATTTGAAATCAAGTCATAGACTTCTCTCAATCTTGGACCAACCATGCCTTACTATGACACACATCAAGCAAATCCAGTCCCGCCTCATCGTCTCGGGCACCATTTCCGACCCTTTCGCCGCCGCAAAACTCATCGCCTTCTGCGCCATCTCCCACCGCGGCGACCTCTCTCATGGCTACAATCTCTTTCGCCACTTACGCCATCGCTCCACCTTCATTTGGAACACAATTATCAGAGCTTTCGTGGACAAAAATCGAGCTTCCAAAGCTTTGTCTATCTACAAACAGATGGTGCAAAGTGGGTTTTTACCCAACAATTATACTTTCTCTTTTCTTCTCAGAGCTTGTGCTGAGCTCTCTGAATGTTCTCTGGGTTTGATATACCATGCCCAAGCTATCAAATTGGGTTGGGAATCGTATGATTTTGTGCAAAATGGATTGATCCATTTGTACGCTACTTGTAGCTGTATGGACTTAGCTTTTAAGCTGTTTGACTCCAGCTTGAATCGTGATGTGATTACTTGGACGGCTGTGATTAATGGGTTTGTCAAGTCTGGGCAAGTTGTGATTGCACGGGAGTTGTTCGATAAAATGCCGGAAAAGAATGAGATTTCATGGAGTGCGATGATTACTGGGTATGCGCAAGTTGGGTCGTTTAAAGAGGTTCTTGAGCTTTTTAATGATATGCAGATTGCTGGGATTAAGCCTAATCATGCTGGGCTTGTTGGTGCATTATCGGCTTGTGCTTTTCTCGGTGCATTGGATCAGGGTAGATGGATTCATGCGTATATCGATAAACACAAACTCAAGCTAGATATAGTTTTGGGCACAGCTCTCGTAGATATGTACGCGAAATGTGGATGTATGGAAGCAGCTTGTCGTGTCTTTGATGATATGCCAAATCGAGATGTCTATGCTTTTACTTCTTTGATCTCGGGTCTAGCAAATCATGGTCAGAGTGCTAGTGCTATTGAGTTGCTCACAAGGATGAAGAATGAAGGAGTTAAACCAAATGAAGTTACATTTATCTGTATACTAAGCGCATGCAGTCGAATGGGGTTGGTGGAAGAAGGGTTGAGAATCTTTGAGAGCATGAGTAATGTTTATGGAATTGAACCAGGGGTTGAGCACTATGGCTGCATAGTAGATCTCTTGGGTAGAGTTGGGATGCTAGAGCAGGCAAAGAAGGTGGTAAGAGAAATGCCCATGGAACCGGATTCTTATGTATTGGGTGCACTACTTAATGCTTGTAGAGTTCACGGTGATGTTGAGTTGGGAAAGGAAATGGTTGATGGCTTGGTTGAGCGAAGTCTTGACCATGGTGGAGTTCATGTTCTTCTTTCAAACATTTATGCCTCAGCTAACCAATGGGGTTATGTGGAAAAGATACGAAAGGGAATGGAGGAGAAGAATGTGAAAAAAGTGCCCGGGTGTAGCTTAATTGAAGTGGATGGTGTGGTTTGTGAATTCAAAGCCGGAAATAGGACTCATGTGCTTATGGAGGAGATCATATTGTTGTCAATGGTGACTGATAAGCACTTGAAATCTCATTGGTTTGATGATGATGTAACTACTGAGCATGTTTACTTGTAGCCTAGAGTGGTAGCATACTAAAATGCTTTGTTGATTGAAACAAGTTTACCTTCTCAAGTTCTCAGAGCTGCATTGATTGTTATTTTCAATGTGATGCAAAGGTTAACCTTTAATTACATAGTAAATATATGTATAACTTATATCTATGAAATAATTGCTTTCAGAAATGAAATCCCTTTCTCGAGTTTAGTACTATTATGGGCATTATGCATGAGAGCCTCCCATGTGTATGTTAAGCTGACAAGGAGAACTTATAAGCTATATTTATTGAAGGAAGATATACATCAACTTAGAGATTTTTAGGTTGTTCAATATAATGAGGTAAAGAAAAGAAGAAGAAAATCAAAGTCCATTGAGTCATTCTCTCTTAAAGAAATATATCAAAAAGAGGTTTTAATTGGTTAAATTAACCAGGAATTGTATTCCTACTCCTCGTTCTTGGTTTTTTATTTAAATTAAAGTAATTTTTCTCCTACAACCCTCTTCATTTTCTTCAATGGTGGTATGACTATCTTCTTAAGGATTTTAACTTTGCTTATTGCATAATTTATGGTAACTTTCATTATAATGATTACTAATATTCTTGTTATTATTTTGATGTAGATGATACAGATGGTGATAAATGCTTATTGTGGATCACAGAAAATACTGGAAATCATGTCGCTTCATGGGATATTCAAGCACTAGAATCCTTTGTGGGTGTATAATTAATTCAACTTTATGAGAAATTTAACATTAGTAGGCATGTTTGCTGCTGGCATTAAGGATGCAGGTGGTACCGACAATTATGAGGTTTCATGCCTTTCCAAAAGATCTTCAGCACTCTGAAATGATTAGCAGCAGCAGCAGCACAAGTGATTCAAAAGTTCAGCACAACAAGTTGCATGCACTGATCCAGATACTACCAGAGAGAACATTTTTAAGAGGCACAACAACAGCAACAAATTGTAAAGAGAAATTTACTCCGGTAATGATGTTTAGTTTGTCAACAGTCTGGGCTCCATGGGGCACTACATGGCTCCAGAAATTCTCATTCATGGACAACAGTTTTGCATCATAGTTGCTGCACTTCATGTTAGGCCACGGCCATCAACACTTATCCATGTCCTTCCTGTTCTTTTACCCTGTTCGGATATTTAACCTGATTCTGAGTGGGGGGTCATCTCATCAGATATTTTAGCATGTTTGGGAGCCATCATGAGCTGCAGTGGAAGTTGGAATAGGCATGGAGCTCGGAGGAGAGAAGCTATGATCTACTCAGAAATCAAGCGGCTGTGTCTATCAACAGGAAGAAGAATGTGACCTAGAGGAAACGCAACATTTGGTTTTATTATGATTGAATGGTTCAGATTAAGTGTTTATTTATTTTCTTTTTTTTTTTTATAAAAAAATTCCCTCTAGAAGGAAAACCAGAGGACCTGCAACATATAGTTAGAAAAGGAGCAAGTGTTGGGCCTTACAAATGGTTTGTTTCAAGGATTTGGAGCTGGTTCAAGAGTTTTTATTGCTTTGAAATTTCTTAAGACTTTCAATTGTTAGAATTGCCAATATGTTGAATTTAGATATTCATCCATTTGAGATCAAATTCACAATGCAATCGAATTTGAACAAATGTGGAGAATTTGGTAGCAGTTATGGCTATAACAAGGTTAAGATGAAGCGTATTTAATATTATATTAATTTGTCTGAAGTTTAATAATTTTTTAATTTTAACTTGTTAATGTTATTTTTTAACCCAATGATAGGATGTTTTGCTCTTATGTTTTTTTTTTTTTTTTTTTTTTGAATTTCCACCTCATTAGTGATCAATTAGTGCTCCCAAATTAGTGGGATGAATCATTGTTGAAAAAAAAAGAGAGATTTTGGTGAAACCCCCCTTTTGGGCCTTTTTATTAGGGTAAAGGATAATCCAATTAATTTTCTTTCAAAAAGTCCCTGAGTAAGAAATGCTTACCTTAATAAGGACATTTTATAATTTCTATTTTTTTTTATCACAATATTGCCCTTATATATATAGTATCATACGTATGAAAAATTTGAAATCTGAGCTCGTAGCCGATGAAGACGATGAAGACGATCTCCAAATCGATCATACTTCACAAAATCGATGAAGACGATCTCCAAATCTGAAGATCTAAAAGTTGAGCATCACTAATCCAGAATATTGAATTTTAATTCTATTAAATATTGTCTAGGTTTTATCACCATCATGGTTACATTCCTCATTCAAGATTTTGAGAATATATGTATATATATATATATATATTTGTGTGTATGAGTGTTGTTGAACATATGTATTCTTTTCATTGAGATTTGTGATTGTTGATCGAGTTTTAGAAGTTTTTCTTCTTAATTAGATATGTTGATTTGTTGATTAATTTGTTTTGTTTTTGTTTATTTTGTTTTTGATTTATTTTTGTTATTTTTTTATCAAATTTCATTTGATAGAAATAGAGTAAAATCTGTTTTTTCATTTGACAGAACCAGAGTAAAATTTTACTTTTATACAGAGTAAAATTTTACTTTTGTGTAGAGTAACATTTTACTAGTTTTTCAGAGTAAAATTTTACTTTTAGCTTCAAAGTCTCACAGTTTACTCGTTTTTCAGAGTAAAATTTTACTTTTATACAGAGTAAAATTTTACTTTTAGTACTTTTAGTTTCAGAGTGTAAAATTTTACTTTCATACAGAGTAAAATTTTACTTTCATACAAAGTAAAATTTTATGAGGGTAATATGGTAAAAGAGACAAGTTTTAAAATATTAGGGGGTTTTGAAAGTACTTATATAATTCTTGTCCTTTTGAAAGACAAATTAGATAGTGAGGGGGCTATCACCAAATCCTCCAAAAAAAAGAAGGCCAAACTATCGCATTAATAATGAGGTCCACATGATGCCATGTCATTAGTGGTGCATTAGTGGTGTTAAATTAATGGTATAAAGCATTTTTCTAAGGCCGCGTTTGTTTTCAGAGATAGAATGGAGGTGATTGATAGTGAGGAAATTAATAGTAAAAAATTATTAAATTATTTTTATATAAAATAACAAAACAGATAAAAAATATAAAAATTAAACATTAATATTTTTAAAAAAATTCCCAATATATAAAAAATAAAAAAATTTCTAATCCCCTCACTATTTTTCTAATACTATCTCTACCTCCTCACTATGATCCCCCTTCCAAGAGTATTAGTAATACCAAGATATTAGTAGTCTCAATCCCTTTCTTATAACCCAAACAAACGGGGGCCTAAAAAGTTACTATAACATTAAATACACGTTAACAAGTTACAATTAAAAAGTTACTAAACACGAGAAAAATTAATACAATATTAAATACACATCATCAGACACTTGTTAACATTAGCCATAAATAAATTTTAATAACAACAATGATTCATCCTCCCTTTTCCTCCCACCCCCTTTGACCCCCTCTCTCTCTCATTGATTACATTTTCTTTTTCTTTTTCTTTTTTTTCCTGCTCCTCCAATCACCACCCGCCACGTGGCGGGGGGTGAGGGGGTGACCCCCAAAAGGGAGTCCCAAGCATTATTCTTTTAATAATGGAACACGAGGCAAGCGAGACATATCATTAAATGGGATAGAATACCCATTCAAATGGAATGCCATAGCCCCCATTGACATGAAGTACCGTAGCCCCATAGTTCCCAATATTTGGTAAGTAGTATTTAGTTCGGGATTTTGGATAGAAATTGATTAATTATTCTTTGGCTTCCCAATCAAATAACCCCTTCTTCTCAAGTAAGTGATGAGATTTATTATATCACTGTAATTATGTCAACTGAGATAACAAATCAAATGTGCTATATATATATATGATCATTGTAGCATTACTTGTCTTTTAAATGAGTTAATGATCAATTCATTTGGAATGCATATATATATTCGCAAACCAAACATAAGATGAGTATTCCAATGGATGATCATCCCATTTCAACCTTCATTCTAATAAACTAAACATTACCATAACAGTAGCTTGATTACTGGAATACAATGGAATGGAACTTATAAAAGGTTATCCTATAGCTAGCAAGCTCTTGTACAGGCTACAAAAACTACACAGCGTATAAAGTTAAAATAAAACCTATAACCAAAAATCATTTTCAAGAGCTCATACAATCAACAACCTAACAAGGTTCGCATTTTCATCAATTCACTGCAAACAAGCAAGCAACCAGCCCATGTAGTGAGCATGACCCGTTTGAGATGACTGTGTCAACCATTAACTAACTACTTCAACAACACAGCACAAAAACAAACCACCAGCTGAGGTAGAACACTAGCCACTTCACAATTATACCATTGCTAAAAACCAGGGAGAGTAACAAGGAAATTTGCACAACATCAGTTGTAGCATTTAATCCCAGCACAAACTCACTTTTAACAGTTCCTATAATTGAAAGTTTTAACTGCCTAGTACCTACCCTGGCAAACAGCGGCATCCCCCATACTACAATACACATCACACCCCCGCACAGCCCACATCTTTTGTAAGAAATTAAAAACTTAGTTACTAAACTCATGAATCGTACAAAAAAATTATTTTTCTTGTAGTTTTCATGCTAAACAAACTCAGAAGGATTCATTTTTCTATTTCCCTTGTTTCCACTACTTACATCCTAAACAAACTCAAACTTAAGAGCTCCCACAATCAACATGGTAATGAGTACACATTTTCATCAATCCACTGCAAGTAACCAGCCCATCTAGTGAACATATCCTTCAGATAACTACGTCAGTCATAAACCACTTCCAGAACACAGCACAAAAACAAACCACTAGCTGATGTAGATCACTAGTTAGTTCACAATTACACCACCGGTGCTAAAGAGCAGGAGCAACATTGAAATATGCAGCATCAGTTGTCGCACTTGATCCAGCATCAAATTCATTTTTAACAGTTCCTACAACGGAAAGCCTCAACTGCCTAGTGCTGAACCTGAAACAGCATCCCCCATACTATAAAACACAACAACACACCCACATCACAAGCCTACGCCTCATGAAAAGCCAAACACGTTGGAAAATAACTAGGCAGTAGAATGAAATAAAGGCCAACATTGCCAAGCAACCTCAGTTGCTTCTAAATTCAATCCCAACAGATTCCTTGACTAATTTGTTTTTTTATTGGTAAGTAACATTAATTTTATTAAATAGATATTCAATGTTTGCCTAACCTAACCCACCTCCCTCACCCAGGCCAGCAGGTAAAGTAAGAATGCAATATTTGCCTAGTACAATAGGGTGGATAACCACCCCCTTCTAAATCTAGGCAGCTTTTATAAACAAGTAGTACAAACATTAGCTTAATTCAACTGCAACATTATAACAAAATTAAAAAACCTACCAACGGTCAGTAACAGCAATTATAGAAGATTAAGACAGTTCAAGCCAAACATTCATCTCCTGCTAGACCATCAGCAGCAACACCGGAGCACCAGCTGGCAGGGTGTGGGCCAATTTAGTATGGTAAGGGAAGGTTTAGTTATAGGAATGCAGAACCTGATTAAGTTTGGGGGATGATATCCCCTACGAGAACCCAATATGATTAAATAAGTAAACCTTGGCTCCGTTTCTTTTGACGTAAAATGTATTTATAAAAAATATTTCTCATTTTCCATTATTTAGTTGAACAAAAAATAACTATAACATTTTTTTTAAAGAAAAATATTTTTGCATCATTTTTCCAAAAATAACTCACCTTTCAAAATTCCACAAGTCAAGTCAATCTTTACAAAGTTGATTCTCACTCACTACATTTTCAACATATTTAGCATTTTCAAATAAATATCTTAGCTCACTAAAAAGTCATAAATAATAAATTATTGAATCAAAATTTCTCTTTTAGGTAATAAAATATTTTTATTTCAAGTATCAAAACAAAAACAAAAACAAAAACAAAAACAAAAACAAAAACATTTTTTTGTGTGTAAAATCAGTTTATAAAAAAAATATTTTTTGTCTAAAATATTTTATGTGGAAACAAACAGAGCCCTAGTCCCAAACATAGCTACCAAGAATCTCTTTTCAAGAAGGGAAACTTGGTTTGAGATCGAATCAAAACTCCATTCCGTGTTTGGTGGAGCTTTTGAAACGTAATTTCATACCTTCGTTTGAGTGCCGAGTTTGGTTAGTGATTTCAAAAATGGATTCTGCACCCACTTTTAAAAACATGTCTACTCGGTCATCCTCTCGAATGTCCCTAGACATCCAACCAGTTGACCAGCACAGTGATTTATTTTTATTTTTTTTTGGCACCTGTATTTTTATATTTTGAGTAAATAATATTTTTGAAATCTTTTTTTAAATTTTTTTAAGAGCTTTAAATAGAATTTTTGATTGTGCGTTTGGTTATAAATTATAAGTTATTGAATCAAATATTATATGTCACATCAAAAATTTCAAACTCAATTCAAACCTCTTTTCAAAACTCATAACTAAACAAAATTTTCACGCTCAAATCATAATTCCAAAACCCACATACTCAAAATATAACTCTATTCTCAAATCATAATTCTAAAACACTACCAAATGCTACCCCAGATTCTCTAGCATAGTTTTAGAATGGGCATTCCATTCCAACCCATTACCAACAAATCTCTCTCAAGCATGCAGCAGTGGAAAAATAAAGATATAGACATAAAAGAGAAATAAAGATATAGACATAAG